CTGAACATTGAGAGATCAAGTGACTTGCCTAGGGTCACACAGTTAGGATATACCAAAGGCAGGGCTTCAAGCCAGGAAGGAGGAAGGGAGGAGATAGAATGCTGAGTTGTAAGTCTGGTGGGAATACAGTGGAAATGAGGGGAAGCAACATGTGATCAATCTGAAAAGAACAGTGTGTGCTGAGTAGTGACTATTTTATAATGTATTATTACCGAAATTGACATTTTTATGTTCTTCAGCCTAATGACTTAATTCATTTATAGCTATTTCCCCCCCAAAATGACTATAGCATAACCCAGGATACCGTGGCCCAGTGGATAGAGGGCTGAGACTGAAGTCAGGAATATTCATCTTCTTGAGTTCAGATCTGGCCTCAGACGCTTACTAGCTGTGTGACCCTGGGCAAGTCACTTCACCCTGTTTGCCTCAGTTTCCTCATCTGTAAAATGAGCTGGAAAAGGAAATGGCAAACCACTCCAGCATCTTTGCCAAGAAAACCCCAAATGGGGTCACAAAGAGTCAAATGTGAGTGAAAACCAACTAAACATCAGGATGACATGACACCTTCTCACCACCCCTTCAGTTGCTCCAGTACCATCTTTTTGCTATATATAGATCATTTTTAAACATTCTTCCTAAACCTCCTTGCCTATATTTCTGTCTCTTTCACTTCCATTTTGTGAATTCTATTAAAGTACTTTTAACAGTTATCGGCTTTTTTTTTCTCCCCCTTGATTTGATTACTTTCACAATGACTCGCAGTGATGGGATAATAGATGTGAAATCACTGTGAAAAGTTAAAAGCATTATACAAATATGATTTATTATGATGATAACTATATAATTGTGCCTCGATCCACTCCCTTCTATCATAAATAAGTCTCTCCTGTTTCCAATTGTCTGATTATTTTGCACACAGCAGGGACAGAAGTCAGATTAAAACATGAGGCAGTGCAGCCTAATGCAGCATTTCTCAAACTGTGTTTGGGGAAATCCAGTTTAGAGCCCTGGTGGTCCAAGTAGAACACAAATGATGTGGAAAAACTTTCAGCACTAAGCATATTTTTCAATCTAAGAACAGCATGAGAGACTTTGTCAAATGCTTAATGAAATCTAGGCCAGCTTTATTTACAGCAATCTCCTTATCTACCAGGCTAATGTTGTTATTCAGTAGTTTCATTCGTTTTTGACTCTTCATGAGTTCATTTGGGGTTTTCCTGGCAAAGATACTGGAGTGATTTGCCATTTCTTTCTCCAGCTCACTTTACAGATAAAGAAACTGAGGCAAACAGGGTGAAGTAACTTGCCCAAGGTCACACGGTTAGTAAGTGTGTGAAGCCAAATTTGAACCCAGGTCTTCCTGACTCCATGCCCAGCACTCTGTCTGCTGTACCACCTAGCTACCCCAGGCTAATATTTCTGTTCAAAAATGATAGATACGTAGGTAGACCAGAGATAACAATGATACGGATGATGACAACAATAATGACAATGATAATAATAACTTGATCTAGGGCTTTAAGCGGGTCCTGGAGTCAGAAAGATTTATATTCCTGAGTTTAAATCTGGCCTCAGACACTTACTAGCTGTGTGACCCTAGGCAAGTCATTTAACTCTGTTTGCCTTAGTTTCCTCATGTGTAAAATGAGCTGGAGAAGGAAATGGTAAACCACTCCAGCATCTTTGCCAAGAAAATCCCAAATGGGCTCACAAAAGGTCAGACTCAACTAAATGACTAAACAACAACAAGAAAATAGGGCTTTAAGGTTTACAACATACTTTACCTATATCATCTCATTTGACCTTCACAACAAGGCTAGGAGGTAGATACTATTATCATCCCCATTTCACATTTGAGGAAACTGAGGCACACCAAAGCTAATTAATTTGTTCACAGTCACACAGCTAGTAAGTATCTAAGGCAGGATTTGAACTCAGTTCTTCTTGACTCCTGATCTAGTGATCTATAGATCAACGAATGATATTTATGTTCATTTTTAAAATCTAAAAATATGTTAATTTCCTTTATTTTGCTTCAAAATTTCCCTTCCATCACCCCCCACACTGAAACTTATTGGTAGAGATTCCATACTCCCAACATCCCTTGGAAGAGCATTTTTGAGTTCTGCCAAAATGTTTCAAGCCTAGAAGTACTCTATGAACATATAAATTTAGGAAATTTAGTTCAAATAGAAATTATCTGATGTTAGGAATCAGGAGACCTACATCTAATCATAGTTGAATCACACTATATAATCTTGTCCAAGTTACGTTTTCTTTATTCCACCCCTTCTATCTGTAAAATGAACTTACAGCTTGTATCAATCAGTAAACCTTACAAATGTTTGAGAATAAAATGTGACGATACATATCCATGCATTTTTTCTTTAAAAAAAAAATAAAGATGCTGCATATGTTAGCATTAATGGTTATAATGAATGCTGCCAATTCCAACAAATAACTACAGGAGATGAATTCACAGATCTAGTAATGTTGAAAAGTGAGGTGGTATGTGGATACCGTTATCCACCAGGTGTCTGAAGAGCAGTTATAGACTCTGGGTTAGGGGTGGCTGACAGAGGCCAACCTCCAGAATGCAGTATGGGGTGCTAAGGCCTGGCTGCTTCTCCCCTATTCTGTTCTTCCTTTACTCAACAGAAAGCTTGGAGCAAATGCCTCCATACCTTTCCTCTGCCTTATCAAGGCCTTCAAGATCCTTCTCTACATTGGGAGAAGCAGCTTAGGGCTGAGACAGTCCACCCCACTTAGATATTCTCATTTATTCCCTGCCTTTAGTAAAGCATACACACACACACACACACACGCACACGCACACGCACACGTGCACACACCCACACACATACAAAAATCTATCCCTGCTTTGCTTTCCCACCAACAAATTCACCTAACAAAGCTAGTTCCTCCCCTATCCCTGGGCCTGACTAAATACTTACTGTACCAAGACCCTGAAACAGAAGATTCGACTCTTTCAGTAAACCATTCCTCCATCTAATAATAGTAGAATGATAGCTACTAATGGCTAACCTTTATATAGCACTTACTATGTGCCAAGTACTGGGCTAAGTGTTTTACAATTATTACTGCATTTGATCCTCACAACAACCCTGGGAGGTAGATGTTATTATTATCCCTGAAAATTTTACAGATGAGGAAACTGAGGCAGAGGTTAAATGACTTGCCCAGGGTCACAAAGCCAGTAAATGTCATAGGCTAGATTTGAACTATGGTCTTCCTGACTCCAAGCATGATGTTCTATCCACTGTACCACCTTAGTAGAAAACTCAACAGAATTATAATCAAGTGAAAAACTTATAATACTCAAAATTAAAAAAAAGCTTCTAAAAGTCAAAATTGAAAATCAATAGATGGGATGGAAGAATACAGTACTAGCCATGGAATCCAAGGACCTGAGTTCAAATTCTAATTCTGCCACTTACCATGTTTGATGTTTGGCAAATCATTTCACCTCTTTCCTTATGTATAACATCAATAGGTTGGACGAGATGACATTAGGCTCCTTTTTAGTTCTAAATCTACGATCCTATGTTCTAAAATGCCAAAGGTCAAATCAATTAATATGTACATAAATATATATATATATATATATATATATATATATATATGAGAGATTAATTTCAATCCCAGAAAACACAGAAAATGAAAAGTTAGGCATTTAATTTTAGGATTGATTACAGAATATTTTCTGTAGTGGGCAAAAATCAGGTAATGTACTTCAGATAGTAAAAATACACAAGCCACTAGCTAGAAGAAATTCTAAATATAATTCACCAAAGCTTATAATTATTAAGCCACAAAAACATCAAGACAAAGAAAAACTTCTACAAGTTTCAGGGGGAAAAAAAGCTTCATTTTTAAAAAATTACCAAATTATAGTAACTATGGATTTTTCCAAAATAGTAGTCAATCAATAAGCATTTATTAAGCATCTACAATGTGCCAGGCACTGTGCCAAGCAGTGTCAAGGCAAAAGATGGTCCCTGCCCTCAAGGAACTTACAATCTAATGAGGGAAACAATACAAAAACAAATATGTATAAACAAGCTCTATGTAGGATAAACAGGAGATAATCAATGAGGGAAGGCATTAGAATTAAGGTGGATTGGGAAAGGCATCCTGTTAAAGATGGGATCTTAGTTGAGTTTTGAAGGAAGCCAAGAGGCAGAGATTGAGGAGAACAAGCACTCTGGGTAAAGTGCATGTGATGAGCAGGGGGTAGAGTAGGTGGGTGCTAGGTTATGAAGGGCCTTGAACACCAAATAGAGGATTTTGTATTTGATTCTAAGATTGTAAATAGCCTTTGAAGTTTACCGAGTTGGGAGAGAAACACCAAAGCTAGAACAATATACAAGTGTCAAAAAAGGAGAAAAGATTCCCCTAAACCTCTTATCCTGCAAACATGGTAATATTACTTGTAATCAAAAAATTTCCTTCAAAGACAAGACTGCAAGATTTTATCAGCAAAAATTCACAACTCAAGAGACACCAAGAAAAAAAAGAAGAAAAGGATGAAATCAAAGCTCCAGCGATTTAACACCAAAGACACATACTTAAGGCTGTTAACAATAATTATAATGCTTTAAGGTTTTCTAAGCACTTGATTGAGGTCAGCTACTCTATCCCCAGTACTACTTAGCATATCTAGCAGTTACCACTGCTACAACTTAGTCAACAGTTTTATGAATGTCATATGTAATCATATGTAATCATATGTAGTCCTATGTAATCTTTCTTCAGTTGGTTGGTTGTTGTCTTTCCTTCTTGAAGAAGACCAAAATGACATCACTATACTGGAGTCATGGTACAGTACGTCCAAATGCGGGTAATCAGACCAGTACAAGCTCAGAATGCTCTATCAGAGGTCAGGGATAAATAGTCCATATGAACATTTGGGATAGAGATATCTCTAAATTTGCACATCTCACATTTCTTTTGAGCTGCTGAGATTCTGTTTCACTCACAGAGCACAGCGCCTTCTTTGATGTGGGCATGCCATGCTGAGCAGTCCCGTGCCATTATCTTCCATCTCATTCAATCAATTCCAAAGTTCTTCAGAGAGACCTTGAGAGTGTTCTTCTATTGCTTCTTTTGACCATCAAGTGAGCACCTTCCTTGCCTGAGTTCTCCATAAAATAGTCTTTTAGGCAAACATATGTTTGGCATTCAAACAATACGGCCAGCCCATTAGAGTTGCACTCTATGAAGTAGAATTTGAATGCTTGGCAGTTCAGCTTGAGAAAGAACCTCAGTGGCTGGTACCTTACTTTGCCAACTAATCTTTACAATCTTCCTAAGACAATTCAAATGGAAATGATTCCATTTCCTAGCATGGTGCTAGTAGACTGTCCAAGTTTCACAGGCATACAACAATGTGGTCAGCACAATGGCTCAGCAGACCTTCAGTTTGGGAGCCAATCTAATAGGTCTTCTCTCCTACATTTTCCTTTGGAATTTCCCAAACATTGAGCTAGCTATGGCAATGTGTGCATCAACCTCATCATCTATGGGTACATTCCTGGTAAATATACTGCCTAGGTAAGTTAATTTATCCACAGTATTCAAAATTTCTCCATCTGCTATAACCAGTGGTTCCACACACGGATGGTGCAGTGATGGCTGGTGAAGAAGTTGTATTTTCTTAATGTTAATTGTTAGGCAAAAATTAGCATAAACGGCAAAGAATCAATCCATACTTTGTTGCATCTCAGCCTCAGAGGCTGCATTGAGAGCACAATCATGTGTGAACAAAAAGTCACACACTAACTCTCCCTTCATTTTAGTCTTGGTTGTAGCCTTCTCAAGTTAAATAATTTACTGTGAGTGTGGTAGCTGACCTTAGTGTCATTTTCATCCTCATTGAAGACATCCAACAACATCACTGAAAACATCATGCCAAAAAGCATGAGAGCAAGCACACATCCATGCTTCACTCCACTGGTGACCAGGAAGGTATGAGAGCATCATCCTTTATCCAGAACCCATGCAAGTATGCCATCATGAAACTAATCTTTCTTAAGTATAGTATAATGAAAACCCTTCTTTGGGACAAAAATATATTGTGATCAACAATAAAATAAACCATATTTACTGGCAAAGAGGTATTTAACAAAAATCAAAAATAAAACAACAAAGGAAATGGATAAAGGGAAAGCAGGTGGTAATCACAAAGGCAAAACTGCCTTATCCATAATAATAATGGAGTTAAACCATAAGTGAATATAAGATTTAATACTCTTAAAATATAAATGCAGTGTGTTTTATTTCTTAGTTATAATCACTGGGATAACTAGGGAAGATTAACATGGATTTCACTCTCCCTAGTATCAACAAAACCAGTAAGAATAAGAAAATGACAGAAAACATCAAATGAATTGCTTATAACAGTAAATATGAAAGGTCTGAATTAAGAGAAAAAGTTAAAGAACAGATCATTAAAGAGAACTTATGAATATGTTGTTTACAGGAAATACATTTTAAAAAGAAATTGATAAATTAAAATTAAAAACACCATCTAAAATATGTCATGAAACTTCAAATTAAAAGGAACAGTACATAATAAAGTGGAATTAAATTTAGATAAATGGAAAGAGACAGCTGCATTACATAATTACCAAATGAATAATGAATAAGAGAAATGCTACAATTCTCAATTTATATGCACAAAATAGCTTGACAGTTCAATTAACAAAAAAAATGGACAGAAATTTAAGCAGAAATGGACAAATATATAACAAAATTGGAGAATAGGAGAACATCAACAATGTGAAGTCAAATGAAAGACCTGAGCTATTTACTTCATAAATTCACATTTACAATGGATAAAGAAAACTATACGAGTAGAAAGGCTACATTCTCTTTGAATGCACACAGAACACTCACCCAAACTTATGACAGAAAGGACTGATAATAATGAAAAATTATACATGTTATACTTCCAGGACACCATACAAGAAAAAAGGAGTTAAATAACAATAATATGAGAAAAGGTATAAGACTATAGGTAAGATGAAAAAATTAAACATGAAAATACTCATAGAATATTTAAAAAATGATCAATCATACCATATGTCAAAAATAAAATCAGTTGGCTGACTAAACCTGTTTATAAATGTGAATTTACATAACAAAGGCATTTATTTATACAATATTAAAAAGGACAAAAAAGAACAAATTAAGTTAACTTAAGCAATAGAAAACAGAAAAAATAACAAAAAGAAAAGTAAAATAAGAATGAAGTTAAAAGCAAAAACAAAATAGAAAATTAAAGAATAATTGAACTAATAATCCAAAAGTTGTTGAATAGGCCAATAAAATAGATAATTCATTAACAAAATTAATTTTTAAAGGAGAGTTCAAATGGAAATCAACAAAACCACAACTGTAAAAGAAAAACCAGAACAAACAAAAGAAATTAAGAAAATGCTTAGGTGTTTAGGTATATAAATATGTATATTTCTTTTTAAAAAATTAGGGACCTTCAAGGAATAGACAAAAAGTTTTAAATATATAAATTGTCCAATATAACGCAAGAGAAAATATTTAAATAAAACAATCTAAAAGAAACAAATAAGACAGCTCATCAAGGAATTTCCCCTGCAAAAACCACCCAGCCCAGACAGATTTATAATAGACTTATTTCAGACACAAAAAAATAAATCATCCCTATATTACACAGATTCTTCATAACTAGAGAGAAAAATGGTATACTAGCTGTTACCTTTTATGAGGCAAATATATTGTTGATCTTAACCTAACAGATAACAGCAAAAATAAAATTATAGTCTATTTTTTTAATGAATATAGATGTGAAAATATTAAATATTAGCTAATAAAATTCAATTATACATTATAATATGCCATCAATAGTATATGTCTATTGATGTAACACACTGTGTAAAGAAAAATATCTCACAAATTTTCATGTTAATAAAGAAGGAAGTACCTTTAAATAAAATCAAATACATAACAATGTTAAAGATTAAAATGGATGAGAATAGAAGATTTTTCCTCAGAGCTATTCAAATAGCTATCTTATGTTGAGAACTAACATAATAAGCAACATAGAAATATTAGAAGCAATGTATCTAAATACATGCACAATGTTTAAAAAATTACTACTTTCAATACTTTGAGTTAGTATTGAAAATCCCAGCACTAAAAAAAAATCAAAGACAAGTTATTAAACAGCATTGGAAATGAGGCCAAATATTACTTTTTGTAGATGATAATGAGTGTGTGTGTGTGTGTGTGTGTGCGCGCGTGTATGCGTATGTAATTTCGGTTTCAACCAAAATTTATGTGGAGACAAGTGAGTTCAGCAAATTTGCAAAATAAAAGAATAGCCCACAAAAATCATTTTCATTCTATTGACCAGCAATAACAATAAATAAAACAAGACAAGGAAACTCCACTTTTGATAATAAAAACCATCAAATATTTAGGAATTAATGTATTTAAAATACATATAATATACATAAGAACAATTATGAAACCATGAAAACTGAAAGGACTAAAAATATATATAAAATTATTCAATGTTCATGGATGAGTATAATATAGTAAAAAATTACAATACTCACAAAATTAATCAACACATTTAATGTAACACCATTCAAAATACCGTGGTTATTCATTAACTGCATAAATCATAACAAAATCAATATAGAAAAACAAACAGGCAATAAGAACAAATACTGAAGACAGCGCAGAAGAGGGATTCATTAGTTCAAAGGGAGAGGGGCTTGACATCAAAAGCAATGATAGAAACAGAAAATATCAGGTTTAGGATCCTTCATCCACTGCACCTTAATGACTCCACAGAAAATTTGCACTCCTAAGAAAAATTCTAGAGAAGATATTAAAGAGTAAGAATAAAAGCAGTGGAAGGAAAACAAAAGTTCTTAGAACGGACATTACAAATTACTATCAATCTAACAGAAGAATTGTTGAAGTGGTAGGGGACAGAGAGGCTTAGGTATCTCTTCTGAGCTGAAAAAGAAAGAGCTCAACAAAAGAGAGAGAATAACAACAAATGTAAACTCAAGGATTCTGGGATTGTGCGCAGTAATGGGAAGAAGAGATAGAGGTAGAGACTGGGTTAGGAATGCTATAAGCAAAACAAAAGGCAGAGAGGGAGGAGGGAACACGTTAAGGAAGACACATAGAAAAGACAGAGAGATAGATGATAGATATACTTGCATATAGTGTCTATATTTAAGTGAATAGATAATGGAAGAAAGCATGAAGTTGATAATTATAAATATGAATGTAAACAGATTAAATTCTCCAAGAAAAATAAAAAAGAATTAATAAGGCAAAGTCAACAATTTGCTATATGCTGCATACAAAAAAATATTTAAAACAAAAAGGGGGCATTTTGCTTGAGGTGGTTCTAAAGAAGCAGGAGTTAACATCGTCATCTCAAATAAGGCAACAATAAAAGTGATAAAGCTAAAAGAGCTTAAAGTCATTACAGAAAATGAAAAAAATATCAAAGGTATATTTACTAAATAGTGAATATGTGCATAGATATGTCTTCTCTAATTAGAATGTGTGCTCTTTGAGGGCAGGAACTGTCTTTTTCATATTTATATTCCCAGCACCAGGCATGTCAGTGTGTAATTAATGTTACTGACCAACTGAGTGACAGACTGATTTTCCTAAAGCTCAAGTCTCACCACATCATTTCACTACTCTATAAATTCTTTTGGTTCTCTATTACTTCCAGCATCAAATATAAAATGCTGTCTTGAGCATTTAATGCCCTTCACAACCTGGTCCCTTCCTGCTTCTTTCCATGATTTCTTATATTTTACTCGCTTCAATGTACTTTACAATCCAATGGTGCTAGCCTTCTTGCTATTTCTCACATGACACTCCATCTCCTGATTCTGGGTATATTCACTAGATATTTTCACTGGATATTTTACAGACATCCTCCATGCCTAAAATTCCTCTATGCCTTCTGTCACTTAATTTCCCTGGCTCTTTTCTACATTCAGCTCAATACTGCCTCTGTAAGAGAAT